GTGGGGGTGGGGGGAGGTGGGGGGGCAGTGATGAGGATCCCCTAAGAGCTAAATAAGAGTTCTTAATCTGGGATCCATGGCTCCCTAGGAATGATAGGCAAAATGCTGTGTAAATATTTGAATTTTTCTGAGGAAATAATTAATAGCTTGCATCAAATTCTCCACAGGGTGACCCTAAAAAGTTTAAGAACGTCCCTAGACGGGGAGGCATCCTCGTAAAGAACTTGTACGGGGAGAGGTCGCTGGGGCCCAGCAGTGGCAGTGTCCCCCTGTGTGCTTTGCCTAGGCGAGGGAAGCACGCGTCACTATACACTGGCAGTGGACGGGGCCCCACACAGCCGCCAGTGCCATTCTGCGTCCTGCCCTCCTCAGCTGGGAATATCAAAGCTTAGCTTCCCGGGAGGGTCGTGCTTCTACTGGGTCCCTCAGGAAAGCAGAAGGGGCTGAGCACAGGGGTGCAGGGAGCCCTCCCTGGGCGTGTGGTGTAGAGTACAGCCTCTTCAGTGCTTGTAAGGTGATATATTAAGAATGCAAACAACGGTCAGTTTGCTCACTATGCAGGTGAAGGACCGGGGTCACGTGTGCCCCTCGTGACAACAGGCAGAGCCCCCCATGACCCTGGCCTTCCTCATGAGTGTAGCAAGTGCTACCAGGGTGCTCTCCCCGGGGCATACACCCACCTGTGTGTAGGAAAACTCTTTCGCAATTCAGAAATAATTAAATCTTCCACAAGGTGATCCGTTTCTGTCACGAGATCTGCAGCTGATGTTTTTGTTGAGACACGTTTTTCCTCAGTAAGGGCTTTTCGGATGATCTGAAATACAAGTACAGGAGGTGGGTTAAGTTTGCAAGCATCCCTCTTTCCCACCCAGACAGACGAATTCTGCACTTCTCTGAGGCTCACTCTGACCCTGGCGTGTGGTGGGGACAGGGCAGTGGGTGTGGGCCTGTGAACCACTTACTTTTGCCGTCACTGGCAGACCTCAGGGCTTAACGTTACACCCAGGACTTTGGGTTTCCAGTGAGCCTTAATTACCCAGCCATTATTCTTTTTACAAGACAGACTCACTGTTTGAAGTTAGTTTGTCTACCTGTACAATATTTGTCTTTGGTGGAAAACGAAAACATAGTGGTTTTAAAAAGAGCATAAAACTTCATCTATAGGAACTGCTCAAACACTTTGCCTCACATAATCCCATGAATTAAAATTTATGAGATTCTCTTTTCTCTAATTCACTTTACGAATCACATAAAATGGGATATGCTCATGAATCCAGATTGCAAATGTTCCTATTGAGAAACCTGGGAGAGCTGAACTGTATTTCAGGAACCATGCCGGCTCTCACTGCTGCCCTGGGCCAGTGCAGTCAACCATCACCAAGGGACACGCTAAGGTGCCGAGGGGGTGCTGGGCCTGCAGGGCTGAGCTCAGACGAGGCTCTGCAGCTGTGCAGGCTCCCAGCACATCTGGTCTAACCCACCATGACTAAATAGAGGGGCAAAGACCAGGACGGCACCAGGGTCCCAGTACTTCCCCACCAGCCGGCTGAGATTCCAAGAACCCCCAGGAAACCCAGACAGGAAGGCGTGGCAAGGGGCTAACCAGCCACTGGACACTCCAGGAAGGACCAGTTCTGGTCTGTGAAATCAAAAGCCACCTCCACTTCCAGCCAGGCTTTTCTTCTCCATTTCTGTCTCTGGTAACCACTGGATGTCTCCCTTACCACAATGACAAAGTCAGGACACCTAAAAACGACCTCAGATCTTTCCTCCAAAACCTGCTACCACCTAAAAATTCTGTATTTCTCTCGAGAGTACTATCAACTGCCCAGCTACCCTGCTGACATCCTCTGCCACCGTGACACATTGTGCAAGCTTCTCATAAGTACTTACTGAGTGCCTTCTCGCGTCAGGCCCTGTGCATACTGGTGTTGCTCAAAAGGAGGCGCTCAAATGGAATTCCACAGAATGAGCTGGAGCCCCAGCATCAGGCCTCCGAGCAATGAGAGACAAGGAACCCGGGTCCGGAGGGTCTTAATGAAGCAGGCCATTCCACCCAGCACCACTTACTAGCGAGACTCGGACCAGCTTCCATTACTGGTTTCTGGGAAGGAAGCCAAAGCAGCTCTGTGATGGCAGCACCTGCAGACCTTACCTGACTTCTCCTCATCTCCATCGCCCTCCCTCCACTACTGTCACGCCCCAGCCAGACACAACCATTCACTGGGAGTCTCCTTCGGATAGAACTGTCATCATCAGCCTCTCCTAGGCCCCGTTCTCCTCCTTTGTGACTTGGTTCACATGTCACCTCCTATACAAGGCGCTTCCAATGTCCATGGGCACAGCAGGGCATTCGCCCCCTACTGTGACCATGGCGCTTGTGCAAACCACACGACTGGCTCCCACAGCTCTTATTGCCTCCTAAGTCTCGTCACTCCACTCCACTCCAGGACCACTGTCGCCTCTGTCTCCGCCTCCCACAGGTGCCTGTGCAGCCCAGGCAGGGCCTCTGCGAGCATCTGATGAGTGAACGGAGGAGGACTGCTGGACTGCGGCACACTGAGCTCGCGGTCCGCTAAAATCTACATGACTTCAATCACTGCTCCTGCGGAGCCATGTCTGAGCTCCCCAGTGTTGACGGCAGCCCCAGTGTGGTGAGGGGCCACGCCAGGAATGCCTGCTGCGATCTGGGCATGTGTGCCACAGGAGCAGGGCTCTGGCCACAGACCGCACAGCAGGGAAGACACGCATCGCCTTCTCTGTATAAATCAGCTGTTCATCTCTGTCTTCACATTTACTCCTGCAGTTGCTCTGATGGTTTTCTCTGTGGGCAAGAGTCACAAGGAGAGCCATGGGGCTTGCTGTGCCCGTGCCCTGTACCAGCAGGGCAGGCTTCCCTGCTGCACGTGCCCCACTAGAAAACCCTCAGGCTAGTCTCTCCCACCCTGCTGCTGTCTGGCTCAGGTGCGAGGCCCCTCGTGCCCAGCCTGGGGAGAACTCTCTGCCACCCTGGGCCACCCCACACCAAGGCTCAACTCTCTGGTGTTCTTCACTCACACCTCTGTGTCTTTGGAGATGTTGTCCTTTCTGCCAGCAATGACATCTCCAGCTACTGCCTGCCCTTCTGCCCACTTGGCCTCCAGCCCAGCACGTCTGTGTGGCCCTCCATCCACCAGCCTGGCTTAGGCCCTTCTCCTGGGTCAGTCGCTGCACAGCCCATGGCATTTGGTCACTGCCAAGCCACTGCCCTGCACCTTCCACTGGTCTGTGCACTTCTTGAGGGCAGGAACTCTGCCTTCCAGCCTAGTAGCTCCAGGCCCCACCCCCGCACCTCCCCAGGCAAGGTGACCAGTGACAGCAACATGCCCCGCCATGGGGCTTTAGTGAGGGGATCTGATAGACTTCGTCCACAGGGCGCCACACACATCAGCTTTCTTCCAGTCACCAGGGAGTTACCCACAATCGGCCAACCTAAAACAACTCAGACACCCTGCAGTTCTTCATGAAGAAAATGCATGTGAAAAATTCCCATCTGGAACGTAATTCTTGTTTTCACCAATTTCATAACATCAGTAGGGAGGACAGAGAACAAAGCATACTTTAGAGCCAGACACATCTGACGTCAAACTCCACTTGGGTTCTACGAGCCTCAGTCTCCTCACCTGTAGTAACAGTGGCACCTATGACACTGGGTCGTTTTAGGAAGTATACAAGGAATTGTATGTAGAGGTCTTGGTACACAAACTGATTTATATGCACACACAGACCTTTAGCACTCTAAATAGTTTTTTGTGAGAACATGTATCTGACAAAACTTGATGACTTTTGACAAAAACCAAAAACCTCCATACACACAGTGTGCAAATCTCAAACAGAATACTAAATTACTAGGTTAAGAAAACTTTAATTCAGGGCTGGCCCGGTGGCACACTGCCGGCCCGGTGGCGCACTGCTACAGTGCGCAGCTTGGGAGCATGGCGGCGCTCCCGCCGAGGGTTCGGATCCCACTGGCCCGGTGGCACACTGCTACAGTGCGCAGCTTGGGAGCGCGACGGTGCTCCCGCCGAGGGTTCGGATCCCACATACAGACCGGTTCCCGCTCACTGGCTGAGCGAGGGGCGGGCGCAGCACCAAGGGTTGCTATCCCATTGCTGGTCCCGGTCCGGTACGGGCGCGACACTGAGGGTTGCGATCTGTTGCCGGACACGGAAAAAGACAAAAAAAAAAAGTGGGTGTTAACAAGAACTGGGGCCTGAGCCTGCCCTCAGTGGTGCCCTCGCACCTGCATCACCAAGAGCTGGGTGCTGTGCTCACTCCTACTGAGGGCAGGTTCTGACCAGGCACTGCTCTGAGCAGTTGGCAGGTCCCCACTCAGTTAACCCTCACCACAACTCTGAGGATAATAGCTGTTGTCAGGCAGAAACTGAGGTGCAAAGGTAGTTCAAAGGTCGCTCAAGGTCACACAGCTATATAGTGCAGGAAAGGAAATTTCAGCGCAGGAGATTGGGTACTGTGGTCCAGATCCTCAATCGCTAAATGGAGATGATCCCCCCCAGCCACAGGTATCAGACCGACCCAGGATTTCCATATCCCTCTCTCTGGTTCATTCACAGTTCTCTCTAAAACAACAAATCCATCCAACTGCCCAAGCCAGAAACCGGAGTTCTTTATTCCTAGGTCTCCCTCAACTTACAATTCACCGAGTCCACCCCAACTCACAATCAATCACCAAATATCACATCTGGACTGGGCCCACCTGCAAGTCTGCTCTCAGTGCCAGGGCCTCCTCGTGTCACCTGGGCTTCTCTGCCTGTGCCTGGCCCTCCTCCCTTTGGCAGCGAGCCTCAGCCAGGTGCATTCCACACAGGTCTTGGTGTTGCAGCTACAGCACCATTCCTAGTTTCAGGTCCTCTCTTGGCGTTGACCTCTTCTCTTCCCCTCAACCCTCCCTCTTCTCATAACCTATCACCTAGATTATCTAGCTGACTCTGGCTTTTCTTTTTAAAGATGCACTCAGCTGAGACTTCCTCCAGGAAGCTGTCCTCTCCCAGGCCCTAGGATGACCTCCTTCACAGTCTCTTGCATGCAGTGATCATGATTTTCTGTGCTCCCATCTCCTGTGCCAGAACATGAGCTCCTGGGCCAGGGGGCCAGGCTGCAGATGGGCCTCTGCAATCCTGCAATGTTCTCTGTAGGCTGGGGGGAGCTGGGACAGTGGACACAGGATCCTGAGACTGGTTTAGCCTCATGCACGCAATGCCTCTCCTCTGCCCCCACAGGAGAAAGAAGATGCAAACCAGGCCAGCCCTAGGTTCAGGCCCAGCATGAGGCCAGAACAGAGGGGGAAGTCTGGACTCATTAGCTCCCCTTTCCCTCTCCAAGCCTTGGTTCCCAGCGCCTCTCGCTTGCTCCCCCAACCAGTTCTCCACCACTAGGGCTCAGGGGTTGGGTGTGGCAACTCTTCCATCCCCTGGCTAAGTGATATCAGCCTACCACCTCCCTAACCCCAAAGGCAGGGATTCCACTAGTCTGCACTTCATTTGGGTTAGCAAGTGAACATCTCAGTCTCTGTGGGGGCTGAGGTCTCCACCAGCCTTTCCTTAGGTGTGGCACAGGAGGGACTTCCTCAACTCCCTATCGTGCTGGGCTGAAGGGCTAAGAAGAGGGCTGCAGGTGCACACGTCTCTGGGAAAAAGGTGCTCCTTCCCACTTTTCTCAAACAGCTTTTGTTAGGAAAATGGGCACAGGAAATACATCGCTGTTATCACAGTGTTATATAAGGAAAATAACAGTTGACATCTCAGGCAGGGTCAGGAGCAGAGGGCCCTAGACACTTGGAGATCATGCACCTCTCACCCACCCAAAGGGGCAGCTGTTATTTGCACCTGCCAGAAATTCTCTTTGTTGATGTTTTAAATGTTGGCAAAAGTTTTTGAATTCTTCCTGCAGGCCCTGCCACCCCCCATGTAGCTAAGCAGAAACTGGAGGCATGGGGCCAGGTGAGCAGAGGACTGAAGAAGGGCCTGGGGGAAGTCTGTCTTCCTCCAGCAGTAGGTGTGTTCTGCCCAGGCAGGACAGTAGGGGAACTTTTTTTGGAGAAATGAACTACTCAAGAAAAGATCTCCTCATACTGGCATCCGAGAATTACCGAAAGAGAAAAGCAGGAGCTGGACTCGGATCACGCTGTGGTGCTAAGCCCCTCAGCAGTCAAGCCTGCTCTCCTACTGTCCTGAGCGTGGCCCTAACACTAATCTCCACACCTATGACTTCCACACTGCATTCAAACTCAACGCCTTCATTTAGAAATCCACTGGCAATTCACGATTAACATGCCCCAAATGGAACGCTTGACTTCCACCTCCAAACCTGTTCCTCCTGCAGTTTCACCACCTGGGAAATGGCAAATTCATTCAACCAGTTTTTCAGGCTTGAACCCTTGAAGTCGTTCTTGGCTCCTGTCTTTCTCTCACACCCTACATCCAACGCAGTGGCAAACTCTGTCACCTGTGCCTTCCAAACCTGTTCCTCCTGCAGTTTCACCACCTGGGAAATGGCAAATTCATTCAACCAGTTTTTCAGGCTTGAACCCTTGAAGTCGTTCTTAGCTCCTGTCTTTCTCTCACACCCTACATCCAACGCAGTGGCAAACTCTGTCACCTGTGCCTTCAGAATAAATCTCATTCACCACCTTCCTCCGTACATCCCAGTCAAATCCACCCTCCTCTCTTGCTTGGTTTCCTATCAGATATTCGATTCTGGGCCCTCTACAGTGTGGCAGGGCCCCACACAGGGCTCTGCACAAAATCTCATGTCATACTGGGAGAAGAGGCTAAAGTCCTTTCCAAAGTTGTTCAATAAATACTTGTTGGGTGAATGCATAAATTTCTAATCAGTGTTTTAGTACCACCACTTAAAAAATGAGCAGAAGGTCGGCCCCATGGCTCACTCAGGAGAATGCGGGGCTGGTAGCCTGAGGCCGCAGGTTCAGATCCCATACAGGGATGGCCAGTGTGCTCACTGGCTGAGCATGGTGCAGAACACACCGTGCCGAGGGTTGCTATCCCCTTACTGGTCAGGAAAAAAAAAAAGAGCAGAGACTATCAAAGAATCCAATAAACACATGTAAAGACATTTATGTTTTTAGTCATCTGGTACATGCAAATTAAGACCACAATAAAATAACACCTAAAAGCCATCAGAATGGCTAACGTAGAAAAGAAAGACTATACCAAGTGCTGAGGAAGCTGTGGAGCAAGAGGAACCCTTGTACACTGCAGGTCGCTTTTAAATTGGTACATCTATGGGCCGGCCCGGTGGCGCACTCTGTAGAGTGCGGCGCTTGGGAGCGCGGCGGCGCCAAGGGTTCAGATCCCATATAGAGACCGGTCCGCTCACTGGTTGAGCGCGGTGCGGGCACGACACTGAGGGCTGCGATCCCGTTGCCGGTTGAGGTAGGGGAAGGCACTGAGGGTTGCGATCCCGTTACCGGTCACGAAAAAAGACAAAAAAAAAAAAAAAATTAAATTAAATAAAATAAATTGGTACATCTGCTTTAGAGAACTATGTAGTTGGTCACACAAAAAAAATTAAATTAAATAAAATAAATTGGTACATCTGCTTTAGAGAACTATGTAGTTGGTAGAATTTATATTCCCAAAGACACAAAAATTCCAGTGCTATTACTAATATATGCCCAACAGAAATGCATGCATATGTAACCAAAAGACACTTGCAAGAATGTTCATAGCAACATTATTCATGTTAACTCCAAACTGGGCATTATCCAAAGTTTCCTCAAGAATTGGATGAATAAATAGTTAATACTCACATAATAAAATACTATACAGCAGTGTTTCTCAAAGTACATCTCCAGACCAGCAACATCAATATCAGGATATGTTAGAAATGCTAATTCTCAGCCCAACTCCAGCCTAGTGAATCAGAAACCCTGGGGGTGGCACCCAGCTTACTTTTGCAAGCCCTCCACTGCTTCTGATGCATGCAAAAGCTTGGGGACCACTGCTCTGCAGCAAGGAACCCCAGGAATTTAACCACACCGAGAAGATAATTAAAATTCTTCTGGGGAGTTGGATAGTTGGATAGTTTTCACAGAAAACTAAGCAAATGAAAACACAAAACTTTTTTTCAACTTGAAGGAAAATATAAATTGCATAAGAAAGAAAAGAATGTTTTACAGCTGTACTGCCTGTCTCCACCACGACCAATGGAACCAAACAGGAACAGCAGCTACATAGCGTACCACGTAACTAACATATAACGTCTAAAGCCGATGACTAAAGAAAGAGTGGCAGAAGCATACTACATAGGAAATAAGTGTGATTCCCAGAACACTGAAACCAGAGACCCCTGCAGACAGGACGAGGGTGCGAGCAAGGAACAGGGCATGGCTGTCCCTCACGATGGTCCTTTCACTACTGCTTCACTTACCAAATTCCCCGTGTGAATAACCAGTAAAAACGAAGATCACAAATCAAAACAGTGTGCTGGCAAAGCAAGACAGACAAGTGGATGCCGTGGGGGTCACAGCCTACCGTGTGCTTTCTGCTCTGGACAGCCAGAGGTGGGCAGGAGAGTAGCTGCATTTGGAGAACCCGCTGTGTGAAGGGCACACCACCCAGACCAGAGAGAAGCAAGCTGTGAAGACCACAATGTGGCAGGCCAGGGAGAGGCTCGGGAAAGATGGGCAAGGTCACTTAGGAAGGGGACCCCTCTGGGTGAAGTGAAGGAAGGGGCACGGGTGCTTGTCCCTGAAGAGGGGTATGGTCTCCAGCAAACATAGGCCAGAAGAAAGGCAAGAAAAGGCAGCGGGCATTCTGAAAGTGCCAAGCAGAGTTGCTGGACCTGGATGCACAAAGGGCTGGCCCATCAGAGGGTGTCAGGACAGGAGGCCTCACTTCTCCAGGCTGGGCCTTGGGCAAAGTAATCTGCAGTGGTGTGTAAGGCCAATTAGAGAAGGGAGAAGTCTGTAGTACTGAGGGCAGAGGACCGGGTTTTTGTTTTTCTGCTTTGGCCTGAGATTTTGCTACAAGTAAACAGAGGTGAGTTACTGTGACATTAATGAAGCTTGAGTGTCAGGCCCCAGCAAAGTGTTCGCAAGGTCGTAGGCTAACACTTCTTGGTGTTAGAAGTGTTAAACGTGCAGAAGTCAGCTATTCTGACTGTAGATCTAACCTTGACTCTTTCCCTGATGATCTTCCCTCCACCAAACTTTGTGCCAGGTGGCCCTGGAGTGGATACGAGCAGTTTTGGCTAAATGGAAGCTGAGTAGAGATGCACTCTGGGTTTGATGGGTGTATCTGTGTGGTTTGCAGTTCCATCTGTCTGTAAGTTGCTGTTAGCCACCCTGTATAAGAATGGCTTCTAGAAATGCTCCTACTCTCTGCTCTTGCCACGCCGACTGACCTGACATGCTGATATGACACACAAGACCAGAGGAGGAGCCTCTGAGCCTGTGCACAGCAGCCAAAAAGAAACAAGCCTTCAACCGCATGGAACCAAAAGCCAGTCTGTGGAAAACTTTTCCATGTCTTATGGCTAATACATAAAAGAAAACGGATAGAAGGTTCTCAATTTTATGGCAATCCTAAAAATGTATAGGGCATTACCAATAACAAATTTGAAGCCTAAATAAGCTTTCCCAAACTATCAGTAACAAACTTCAATCAGCCATGCTACAGAAAAGGCTAAATTTATCTTTCATTTCTCTTGATAGAAAACACCACAAAGTCATTGTCATCTGAAGATGCAAAGAGCATAAAGCAAAAAAAAGGGGGGGGTGTTTAGAAAAAAGTATTACAGAAGATGGAGAAGCAGTGAATTATCATTTTTATGTATTTTGTGATATCTGCATATTAAAATTTACAGTTGTGATCATTCTTATTCTAAATAAATAACTGCTGTATGTAATTTTGAATTTGTCATTTTGTATTTTCTTAAAAAAGGCCCCATAAATTGTCTAAACTTCAGGCCCAACAAAACCTGGATCTACCCCTGCAGAGAAATTAAAAAAACACAGGTGTCTAAGATACTTTTTTGTTCACATAAAAGATAATAAACACCCATTTCAATCAATATTGTTACCTGCACTTGGTAATGGGGCTGTAGTCACACCTTCCCCAAGAGCCCAACAGCCCAGGAGGAGGCTCCTGCAGTGCTGTGGGTGGGTGGGACTGGAGGCCAGGGATGGCTCCCAGACACACTAAAGGAATGGGAGGGGGAGAGGCCCAGAGGAAGGCAGATGAGGAAATGGGGAGGTGGGCCTGCCTTCACCAGAGCCAGTGTCTGAGGGATCAGGGGCAGCAGACATCTGTCCCTTGGGAGGTCCCTCCCTTCACTCTCCCCACCTTTCAGCATGTAGAACCCAGATTCAGTCTGAGGAACAGCTCAGTGCAGCAAGCAATAAAACAGCAGAACGCTGGGTACTGGTGACAGGGTGGGCACTCGGGGCTAGGGTGACTGTGCCAAACATGCCTTTAGTTTCAAGAGGACTTGAAAACGGATCACCACTCACTACCTTTTCATCCCTTCAGCCTATGTGGCTGAAGGCAATGTTTTCTGCAGTTAGCACCCCATTACTGTAAGAACCTTATTAAGACAATCTGCCCCTCTTTCCACAGGTAGTGATGACCTCCGGTGGCTTCTCTGTCCCAGCCACAGACCATTCTGGCCATTCTCTCACCCACCGCCCACTGCCCGGCAGACAGGAAGCATCAGCATAATGCTCAAGAGGGAGCCTCGGGTCGGAGTCCTGGGCTTCCTGATCAGACTCCTAATAAAAGAATTTTATTTCACCCCTCTCCATCTTTTTCGCTGTTGGCAAGTTGCAAAAACATAAACTATCTCTTAAGCTAAAATTCGTAAGATCCTTAGAGCTGTTCCTGCCATATTGCAAGCTCTATATGAGCATTTGTTAAATTTTTAGTCCTGGGCTTCCTGATCAGACTCCTAATGAAAGAATTTTATTTCACCCCTCTCCATCTTTTTCGCTGTTGGCAAGTTGCAAAAACATAAACTATCTCTTAAGCTAAAATTCATAAGATCCTTAGAGCTGTTCCTGCCATATTGCAAGCTCTATATGAGCATTTGTTAAATTTTTTTTTTTTTTTAATTAAACCTTCTGTTTCTTCAAGGATCTAAATTTGAAAACCACAGAAACCCATACCTTAAATCACCAGGGTTTACACAGTAGTGTCTGAATCCTAAGCTGGCTTCTCCTCAAAGCCTCAAGGAAGAAAAGTTTTATGGTGGAGCCTAAAGGTTCCTAAATATCCTGATGATGCTCACTCTTGGAAGGGAAGCGAGGCAGGAAGGGAGGAAAAGGAGAGCTAGGGCTCCTGCACACGGCGGATCTGCTTTCCAGGAAGAATGTTCGCCATGAAGCTGCAAGCTCCATCAGACTTGCAGGAAGGTTTGGATCCTCCTTTTCTGGAAAGGCCATGGAGACAGGGTGAAGAATTAAACCTTCTGTTTCTTCAAGGATCTAAATTTGAAAACAACAGAAACCCATACCTTAAATCACCAGG